TATTGTTAATATCACGTTATAATTTCTAATTTGTAATTAGAAACGTTTCCTCTTGGGATGCCTCCGCACTACTGTGTACTCGTAATCTTTCTAATATAAATGTGTGTTTTTTGTAAAGCCATTTCGCTTATTCCTTATCCTCAATTTTAAATTATGATGAATGATCTTAATTAATGAAATAGTCATAAGTCACTACATAGGTTTTCGATGTTTATAATGAAATCGTTTAATATTTACACTGTAACTTAATATTTTATAGAAAATGTGATAGAAAAGCGTGAAAGACATTAATATTGAATACAAATTTATTACGTTCTGAGTTCCTAGATATTTATTATGTAATTAAGATATGATTTAGCATTTATTGTTCTTAAAAAAATATATAGCGATCAGTAGAACAACTACTCAGTAAACAAATCACTAATACCATAACATTATACTTCTACCTTCAATAATAAATTACTGTTCGACATACACCATTACTCGAAGAATAAATTTACAATCACTTTGTTTCTAAGCAAAGGCAAGTTAAGTAACTTCGCTATAAATGATTTTATTTGAAGTGTAAAAATAAAAATAACACAGTGCTCCGTACTTTATAGCGTGTTAAATTGTTACTTTGTTTCTAACTCAATAAGCTACTTTGATGTTAGATTAAAAATAAATGTTAACCTGTATTATTTTAAGAACTTGTTTTGTATATAAACAGTGAGTCGTGCTTTAATTTAAAAACCTTAATATTGCTCATATTTCTGTTGTAATTTTTCTTTATTATATACTTAACTCTAACTTGTAATTAATCTTCATAGAATATATTTCAATAAGAATCTGACAACGACTTCACCCGTGTAATAGACCATTTGGGGTAGAGGTTTATAACAATTTCCTTTATTAAGCTTTTATGGAGACGTCAGACTTGGAGTTGGGTATACCCGATTCGGCATCTTCCTTTCTAGTCCGAAACAAGGTGGACTATCTCATGGTCAACTTGCAACATCTATCAATGCTGGGCATATCCCAATTCTTCCAGTAAGAGATACGCCATGAAGTTGTTCAAGCAGCATTCGCGAAGCCGGGCTCCAGTGTCATATTGTTGACTGGTAGACGCTTGGAATTGCTGATCATCGGCTGGCCTGCTATAAAGCTAAAAGATCTTTTATACAGTGTCACAGCTATGACAAATTTGACACGGAAACAATGGCAATAGAATTTATTAAGTTTCAATGGTGAAAAGTGGAAATATTACGGTTACTTTGCTGCTTATGATTAGCAAGGCAACGAAACTGGTTCTGTAGGATATTCTATCAAGTTATTACAAGAACCCATAAAAAGTTGGGATGGTAGTGGTTGTTGAGGAAAAAGGAGTATGAGCGAAGCAACCCATCTACCTTATCTGACAGATCTATAAGTTAATCGCGTTTTTGGACGAAATAAGCAGGCTCTTCGGAAATATCGTCTCTGATCTAATTTACACGGCGAAGATAAGAACCAGGTATAAAATGGGAATAATAGCAGTGTTATCACAACATCGATTATAATTCCGTTGCACTTAATTTCTTCCAAAAGAAGTATTTGGTAAATATATATTTTTCTGTGAAGGTTGTCTGCCCATGTTTTTTTATGAAACAGTGCATTGAAAGGGGAACTTAAATACAGAATATTCAATTCGATCTTCGAGATATTATGCTCGCTCGTTATTCTAGAGGTTTAAGAAATTTAGTAAGTCAATTGGAACTAAAGATTTTAAATCATCTCTTCTGCTAGTTCTTGTAATAACAGCATTTTAAGTCTATCTCTTATTTCAAAGTCATCTAGCTAGTCCTAAAAAGGTCACTTGCTCTTGCAAATAATTCAATGCGATGACTGTAAGGATTTAAAAATAGAAAATTGTATTGCCAATGATGATATTGTGGTGGTAAATAAATTATAGTGGAGTTGTTATTCAGACTCATTTATCTTGATATCGACAACTTTTGTCATTTTATTTAAAGATCCCTTTATTGATTTCAAGTTATTCTTATAACGTAAAATATTGAAACTGTTTATTTCAATATCAAATATTATATAGTAACCATTGCTGGTGCTTTAAACGAGAGTATTCATCATTTTTAATTATTATTTTAAATAAATATTAATACTAAATGCAAAATAAATTATAATAGCTGTAGGAATACCGTGATTATCATCTTTCAGTAGTTGTAGTATGGAGTTATTATGAAATTTATTATTCCATAAAAGCCATGAGTTCTATTACAATTAACTATTTTAAAATCCTTAGGATCATTTCCTGAATATTCAAGCCCTATTCAATTCCTTTAATATTTTTCAAGACTTGTCCTTAATGTGTGCTAACATTTTTAATAAAAAAATTGTCGATATTTAATTTTTTTGCCTAAAGTGTTTCGGCTGTGTGTGCGTCTATATGTCATCGTGAATTTTTCCTTTATACATTATATAGACTGACATATCAAGACAAAAGTTAAGATTGTATATTAATTTTAAAATGAAAAGATGATTTATTCATTTTAAATAGATACTTATTATATTTTTATTCATAATAATCTACGGTACATAACTGAAAATTTGTTTACGATGCAATTTGCAACCCTTGTAAAGTGCACACGGTGCATTCAGAGCACTCTTAGTATAAGGGTCTGAATTTGGGTCAGTTCAAGTTTTATCTATGCTATATTTATAAATTATATAATTCATTAAGCCTCGATTTGGTTATTGACATAATGTTAACTCAATTTTTGATCTCTCAACCTAGCCAGGATTACGGATTCTCCTTTTTTAACTGAATAACACGATTTAAGTTTTACTTTCAAATGTTATAAAACAAGGTTAATACAAAAGAATATAGTAAAAAACACATATTATCATCAAAGTTTCATTCATTCATTCATTCAAAGTAAGGAACATCATCAAAGTTTATAATACCATTGGTTATATAGGAGTTCTACTTTAAACATTTCTTATGTATCTTATGTACACAATTCCATTTCTTAAAGCTGAAAAGAAGCCCCATTTTGTTTCATAAAGACATCTCCAAGAAAAACTTTAGCGAACAAATACATATATTTTCCTTTTTAATTCAGCTTTCCTTTGACGAAAAGTAAACTAGCTCTTTAGCAGAATTGCTTCGAACACATGGGACTTAGTTTAAAAATATGCGATACAACCTTTCATTTGGTAGTACTTACGTATACATGATTATTTCTTCAGAGATAGAAAAATTAAGAAATGATCTAACTGAATTGATATATTATTTAAGAGCCTATTTAAATTGTACTCCTTTACGTAAAAGATAAAGTTAAGTTTCAATTATGTTATTTTAAAAATATTTTAAATCACCTTAATAAATTTATATTTATGTATTTTCTTTATTGAATAGAACAGGAAACAAAATACGTTTCTATTCTTCGAATGTCAATTGTAAGGCTAAAAGATTGTAACAGACAATTGTAATTTACTATAAAATAGAACAGCGTTCACTTTATAAGGAAAATAGTTTCTAAAAGCACTTAGATTTAAAGGACGAGATCATTAACGGCTTTTGACTCAAATACTTTCTTTTTGTTAGTGAAATTAAATCCTGGCTTTATGTTGCCGGGGCGAAAATTAAGGCTACATTTTCAGTGTATTCAGAAAAAGCAGTCTCTCTCTAATACATTCATTTATCCTTTCAATTTTTTCACTTTAAATTTTGTGGGACATTATACTTATATCAAGAGGTTTTTAAATTTCAACAAACTTTTACTATTGAGGAGAATCGTTTTTTCATACGTAAATTTATCAAGGTTTTTATTAAAAATTATACTCTCATAAGTAATTTACAAATATTAATAAAATTATAAAGCTTTTTGTAAAATCTATTTATTTAGTAAATGAGATCACTAAGTAAAAAACCTGTTAAGCATTTGAAGTGCTTCGTATTATCCCTGTACTTGCGTGTTATGTGCAGCAATTCATTTACAGTTGAGCACGTAAAGGATGAATTTTTCACAAACTTGTTTTGTATTGTATTTAAATTACACATTCTATCTTTTTCGAAACAATACATATATTTCATAAAAATATTATTATTTTTTAAACAAATGTTACCGAAACTTTATAAACATCATGTTAAGTTTAATAATGTAATATTTGTACTCTCATTATATCTCATATTTTATAATAAATAGAAATCAATCGACTTTAATCACTCTTTAAAAAAAAAAATTTAGGAAACTATTTGTCGATTATGTATTTGAGTTAGTTAGAGTACGTATAAAAAGGTCAATAAATTTATGGCACAATAATACAATTTTGCAGACTTTATAATCTGGAAAAACTTATTTTACTATTTGAACTAGAAAAAGATAAATGTATAGGTTTTGCTCAATGGGTTTGCTTGTAAATAAAATAATTTCAAATTGTCATGATTTTATTCATCTTACACTCGTTATCTCATACTTGTCATAAGATTCGTATTAACGGTAACGTTTAGATATACGTATGAAAGAAAGTTACAATGAATGAACCATTACTTGAATACACACAAGAATAAATTTAATATGACATATTTAAAAGAATTAAACAAATAATACACATTAAGTATTAAAGCGTCGAACATTAATTGTATTTTTGACATTTTACAACTCATAAGGTACATTTTTTAATTTACTTCGCGATTCAATAATAAAATTCTGAATTTACATTTCAATTATAAATAATGATCAAGTTTAATTGGAAATAAATCCTCTACCGAGGTTATTACAGGAAATTTGACACGTAAATTTTTATTAGTTACTTTTACAATGATACAGTCTTTAGGTCCTAAACTATGTACAATGACGTCATTTTAAATGACGTTACACTAGAGCCAGAACAATTAGTATTTTATTGTGTTATTAGCGATTAAAATTATTACAGATTAAATTTATAGTGACATTATGTAACCATGTTATGTTTCATCCATTCATAATGGTAACTGCCGTATATACAGGACTTTCCAACATTCAAATGACGTCACTTAAATCACTATATATCTATAAACTTTAAAATGTTAATATCGTTCGAGTTACACGTAAAAGTTTATTTACACAAAATTTCACTTCGCGATATTTACAACCATGCAGTACAGTGAGTAGAGAAAATTTTTCACCATCACTTTATACATAATTGTAAATATCCTCCATTTCTCATACGTTCATTTCGGACATAGCAGCTTGCGGCACTCGGGATTTTTGAGAGAAATGTTGAGAAGGTGGAGAAGAGGAAGGGACCGAGCCATTTCCTGATGTTTGAGATTGCCCTGTCTGTGCTTGTACGTCTGGCAAGTTGCTACTGCTCATGAACGTTGCATTTTTTGGTAAAGTCATACAATTGGATGGGTTACAAATTTGATTCTGATAACTAAAGCCCACTTTTCTTGGCAATGTCGTGCATTGTCCCCTATTAGTCGGACTGGGTTTCTGAGCCAAATTGGACATTTGTATCCCAGTGTGACAAACGTTCGGACAGTTTTGATTTGTAAAATGGTGAACACGGTTTGTCATAGAGATAATAGCATTCTTGTCTTGATGATCGATGTCCACTATTGTGCTGGAACTTTGTGAATGCCCAACGAAATAGTGAGGGTGTTTCGATGATACACTGTCAAATGTCGAATTCTGATTTCTCTTTTGCTGCTGCAACGCCTTCACTTGCAATCTTGTTTTATCACGCTGATAATAAACGCCAGCAAATATCAAAACGTTTAGAATTAACAGGGAGCAGCCAATCGCGATAGTGACACTCAAAGCTGTGGAATACGCAGTGTAACCAGCAACCTCTAAATTGGATACGTCTTGCGGATGCGATATATTGGTCTGACTTTGAGTGACAAGCGAGTCGGGTCGGGGCGACATGACACTGACGCATGTGGTAACGTAAGTTTCTATTGTGGATGGTATATCTAATAATGTAAGATTTGGACGTCTGTAGAGTTCAAGAGTGGGGTCATAATAGTTATAGCGAGTTAGTGGATCGGGTCGAACCAATCCGTCGTATAGTTCAGGATCATTGTGGTTACGGAAGAGGTTGTGTTTAGCGACAACGTCTTTCATTCCAGCGCGATGTATCTCAGGAATGAGACGAAGCCAAACAGATAGTTGGTGTGCACGATAGTGATTTTTCATACGAGGCTTCATTCCTGCAAAATAATTTTCAAGTTATATTTGGTTTAATAAAATTCAATACAATAAAGAAAGCTGAGCCTAAATATAATAAATACTTAAACATGTGATTATATATTTGAATATTAAAGTCATAATTTAGCAGCGCTGACGTTATTAAGTAATTATGTATCAATGTCGTTTTATTATAGTTTAATTTACAGCAACTATTTATACAATTTTATAAATACACAATGAGATCTGATTAATTATTTGACTAATTTATATAAAAAATTCTACTGTTTAATTAAATATCGTAAAAAAGTACCAATTTCTAAATATTTTTGGTGCAACGTATCATACTCATCCCAGAAAATGCTTTTAAATTTGTTTCTCTCTCTTGATATCGGTAAGACAGCCTCCTGCCTTTGGGCTTCATTGGGATTCCTTAAAAGTAATTATATTTATAAGATCCATTACGGACTATACATTACAAAATAAATAATTTGTAAATTAAAATTATATAATACATAAAGTTATATATGAAACGACAATCTTCTATCATAATTTCGATAACACAGCTATCTAAAGCTCTATAGTTAAGTGTCCATTGTGACCATGTCCACTTTATATTCGGCTTGAGCATTTTATCTACCGATATCTTCATAAAAATATAAAATCAATGAAGGGCAGATATTCCGGTTTTAAAATCTTTTAAGATAGTTTAAAAGTAATCATATTTATAATAGTATCTTGTAGAAATTTTAAGAAAAAAAACAGTAATACGATGTTTTCCAAATCACATTATGTTTCTACATACTTATTATAAGTAAAAACCAAAACTATGTATAAAGAATATATAATATTTGTACTCATACCCATTTAAATGAAACAAAGTTTTTCGGATACAACGCTTTTTTGTTATGATAAAAAACATAATATCCGAAAAAAACTACATTTAATTTAATACTATACATGTTAGAAGCGAATACGAGGATCGGAATGGAATAATTATAAAATATATATTAATAATCATAATGCAACAGTTGTGTATAAACGCCGGTGGCACAAATGGTATTATATTGGTCTAAGCGCGGCCAACCTCTACATTGAGGTCAGGCTGTATGGTAGACTGATAATAAGGATAATAATTTTATATGACATCTAGCTAATATATTTTTAGACTGTTCCCTTTCCGATCAAAATATAAATAAATATATTTCCTTTCGCCTTTCGAGCCCATGGTTCAATTTCATTCACCTATTCAGTCAATATCATTAAAAAACTGCTGAATTTATATGAAACAATTTAAAAGTAATGAAGTCATTAAATTCCCTTAAGTAATATTACAATAAAAAATCGCAGATACCAAGTCAATATAAATTCTTTTGTTTTATTACAAAGGCAACGAACCAAACAAAGTTCAGACCGGAGAATAATTTACCATTTTGTTACCATCGAAGCGAAACGGGAAGTTGACTGTTAGCTTATATTTCATTGTTTTGTTATTATTGGACAGTTCTTTAACAAAACATTTTAATAAAAGAACTAAAAATAGAAAAGAATATATGTAAGTATTAGAGCTTAAAAATAATTAACGACGTTGACTTCTAAAAAGATATATTACTATTATTTTTAATGAATGAAAAATGAAAATAATGACATTAGTCTTTTTTAAATTATAATGTTTTATACGCACCCAGTCTTGACGAAGTTAGCTACGTAGAGAATGAAAGCTTCAGATAGTGCCACTTCCGATTTTGTGTAGTTTTTGGGAAAGTGTCCAAGTCCTTCTACTAATGGCGCTCCAAATAAATATGGCAGCTCCTCGCCATGTACAGAACCCATACGCTACAAGAAATAATTTCACAATAGCGCTTTTTAAAAATTTCAAACAATGTTTGAAGCTGTAGTTCTCAAAACAAATTTATTTGTTATTTTATAATTAATACGTTTGTATGAAAAGTAATTTAAAATTGTGTCGAAATTATTATGAAGTTAAGTTCGTTAAATTTCTTATATATGTATAATGAAACAAGAAAATCCAGTTTGGTTCATCAATCAGTCTTCCGTATCTTCAGACTCCCAAATCGATTTGAAAATTGTAACATTCATTGAACTATTTCAAACTAAAATGACGAATGCTTTCAATTTACGTTCCGGTGAATAATGAAAATACATTTGCGAATGGAGAAAACAGGTCAAACTTTTTTATTTTTTTCAAGGATTATAAATAATAGAGCAGTTTCACATATGCTCCAGTTTTTTAAACCTAACAAAATAGGTTTTATATATTTGTCAATATATGCGTACATATAAAGCAATTTTCGGAATACTAGTAAAAAATGCAAATCATCTTTATAATTATAAAATTTGTCATTCCTAATATTTTTTTTCAAAGAACAATGATGAATACAAACTATTTCTAAAACCTGAATAAAAATATATTTATTGATATTTAAGAAATGAATAAATTAAATAAACATGAAAATGATATTTCAAAGTACAATACAAAAGAAAGTATAAAAACAAATATATTAAAGATAGAAATCGAAAGCAATCTAAATAATCCAAAACAATTTCACACATACCTGCGGGTAATCACCGTCCTTCGTTTGATAATCGAATACATAAAAGAAGGTATTTGGTCCAGACCCGATAGAACTTTTGCTAACACTCAGAAAATCTCCCGTTTGAACTAATGGAGCAACATATTGGGCATCTGATAGCGCTAGCACTGCCGCATCCCGAGTATTGATTGGATGCTACCGACAAACGTTTCCTGAATTAATGGGACTCAAAAAGTAGTTTAGAAGATTCTATTTAATATTCCGGCATGTTTTACGTCGATTTTTTTTTCTTAATGGATCCAAGTAAAATTAATATTACCGTATCCTTAAAAGAGATTTATTAAATAACGCTTGGTTATTATGGAAGCACCACGTTTTGCTTTGATTAAAATCAGATTACACGAAAGCTAAAATTTTGTCTAAATGTCCTAAGAGATTAAATAGAAAACTGAGCTCCGTAAGGGACAAAATAATTAAGGAGATAATACTGATTCATAGTTCACTTAAATAAATATATTGTGAGTTTCTGTTGTTGTTTTCTATAAGCTGGCTAAGCTCGAAATCTAAATTGGTGCCAAATGACTTTTGTTTGAAGTTTCATCCGTTTCCAATATAAAATCTAATTCAAATGGAAATCGTATCAATCCAACCATATCTAGATTTTCAACCACCGTTACTGCTATATTCCCGAATATAGCGACAACGGTGCTATTACGTTTTGCTTCTAAAAACTTTATCCTCCGTTAGGATAGTGATAGTGTTTCCAAATTGATTATAGGTTTTATTCCAACTGTTTGTTTTTTAGTTTTTTGCACTTTGAAACTAGATAGTAGTGAATTCGTTATATGTATCACACTGTAGTATGCAATGTATATAATATTAAATTGAACATAATTCATTAATTAACATGTTTTACTTTAATATATATTTAAAAACATGTAAACATTTTAAAATAAAACTAAGTAACTTTTATTCCAATTCGAAAAGTTTTGTAATCTATATTCGTTTATTTTCGCATCACGTATATTAGTACGTAGAGGCTGGCCGAAATACTGATCAAAATAATAATGCGACCGAAAAGAAATTGCCAATCTTTGGTCTGGTCCAATTTATTGTTGATGTAATAAGAAAATAAATGTTACCTGAACCGTTCTCTCCCAATCAGTATACTCATTGACAATAGTAAAGAATATTTCACTTAGATGATATGTGTAGGCATTTCTTACGTAAGTTCTGAAAAAAATGACGTTGTGAAATACCATACTATTAAATACCATACAATTAAAAACATAATTTAATTCATAGACAAACAAAAATAGTGTTATTAAAATTATATGAATACCCATTTGTTGTAAAAACATCTTTACCTTATTATTCTGTCTCGTCTCTCTCCTTCAAATCCATTTTGTATGTCTTGAGCCGAAAATTTCCAGAGAGCTTCGCTCGTTACTACTCCGAATAACAGATCATATTTATTTTGCCCGCCTCTTATCCCGAAAATCCTATCTCCACTTCTTTTGTCCATTTTCACATTGTTGACACCGGACACACTAGTGAACCCTTGCAGATCATTTGGAATGAAGAAAGTTAGTAATTCTTTCGCGTAATCAGTTTTCACAACAACTCCGTCAACTGAAGGTCCGAATGCTGTGAGATAACTGGGGGTGCTTATTTCAGCAGACATTAATTCTTGTAATGGTACTTCTCTAAGGCAGTCTACGATCAATTCGTGGTCCTTGACGATATCTTCGGGAAGAGTACAATTAGACTGCTTAGCGAGTTGGACGGAATAACTAACAGGATCTTCTACAAGTGCCCAAGAACTCAAAGCTGACCCAGATAGTAAGATTGCTCGATGGAAAAGTCCTAAAACATTTTATTTGCTACGTTTATATGTATTTTATTTCATTCTTGTGAAATCATTTTATTGAGGTTTTTTTTAATTATTTTAAAAGTTATCTATTATTTTACTAACCCGGCATAACAGTTGGTGATATCATAAGAAAATTTATACATGCAGCACCTGAGCCGTGTCCCAACATAGTTACATTTCCAGGATCACCTCCAAATAGGGCTATATTCTGTTGAACCCAATGTAAAGCCGCTATTTGATCCATCAGTCCGTAATTTGCTACTCTCGCTTTCAAATGTGGTATTGGGTTTGCATTAAGGAATCCTGATAATACACAGTTGACTTTTAACCAGAATGAAAATGTAAGCTTTATTTTAATCAATTTCACAAACACAATTTTTATTTCATTTTTAAATCAACAAGCATCTTATTCCAAGAAATTTATACATTTAATTTTATTCACATAATAATATGTCAAATGTTAAAAATATTTATAAATGAGACAATGAATATTGAACTATTATCGTTTCTGTTCCATATTATTGTTCTGAAACATTTTGTTCCATTATAGACAAACCACATATTGTTAATAGGATCACAACAACAAAAGAACTTTGTTTTAATTTTCTTCAGCTTCAATCTAATTATGCATAGCTCTTGTGCGATAGCTTCGTCACGTTTCACTCTGCTTAATTAAACATTTCTTGTAGCGCTTTCAATGTCAACTAATGTTTTTATATTCATACAAATCAGTACCTTATGACTCTCTTGTAAAGTTTATTTTGGTTTAGAGGTGAATTCACTGTAAGTTTTAATGATTTCATTTTCACCATATTTCAAGGTACGTGTGCATTTAGGGTGTTATATCTTGAGGGAGTTGAATGATCTTCTTATTGTATTAAAATTTTGTTTGAAATATAATAAGGCATATTCATATTTACTAAATAGCAGCAAACCATGATTGAAAGTGTAAAACTTATTTTACTGTATAAAAATTAGGCAGAAACAGTTTTTTAAGGAAACATATGACATAATCATACTTCGTCACTCATGGTTATGTTAACAGTTTATCACAAGATGTTTCAAGACAGTTATGAAAGGTATTACTGCAATACATTGGTTTAAGGAAAATTCTAAAATATCTATAAACAAAAAAGATACTTCATTTAAGATGTCGTAAATGTAGTTCATTGAATTTATTAGTTGAGTACGATGTTGTCAATATTTAAACAAAACATACCCAATATGCCTAGTCGGTAATTAATAGTGATGACCACAAGCCCCGCATAGCTGGCGAGAACGGCGCCATCGTAGACATTCCCGGAGTTCCACTCAAACGACTCCCCGTGAATGAATATCACCACAGGGTATTTGGCTTGAAGTGTTGGACCAACTGAATGAAATTTATAAATGTGTTGCACTGACAATTTATAATAAGATTTTATAAGAAACATCCCTTATGTATACTAGTGAAAAGATATATGTAATGAATTTTTGGGATCATATTAAAAAGCAACTGTATTATCGTACATGTATGTATATACATAAAAAAAAAATTAGCAACAATTTCATAATGAAAACAAATTAAATAAAAAGTAATACCTAACGTTAGTTTAAATAATTTCATATGAAATTAAATCTAGAATCGTGAATATGAACCGTTTTCAATAAGTTACCTGGTTTCAATTGAAAACTGTCGGGGCAAACTATAAGAAACCTTCAATCCGATAAAGTATCACGCGTTTAAATCGAATACGACCCAGATAAAAGCCAGTCCCGAGTCTTCAAAGCCACCTTTGTTTATTACTGTTTCGGATGACAAGAGTCAAAGTATTCATGATAAACTATTGGAAACATTCCAATAATATGAAAAACGTCTGCTTATTGAATATGAATGCCGTTCACATTATTTATAATATTATAGGACATCATATAGGATAAAAAATATAGAACAACGGATCTAAATAATTTCTATAGAGTTTTCAATATTATATTATATTGAAAACTCTTTATATAGTATGTTCAGCGATATTTTGAAATAAACGGCAAAAGCTGTACACTTAATCAAGCGCTGTATTGATATAAAATAAAAATATACAGCTGATTTTTTTTCGATGCACTGACGTGAGTTACTTCAATGAATTTTTACTGGATAACTCCAAATACAAAATTTATAAACGATATGTATGTTTTTGAAAATGTTAACCAGTTTATACTTGATAAATATTATCATTTTTAAGATCTAATAACACAATTTCATTATTGATAATTAATTATTATAATAACTACTCTTTATTATTATACGGTTTAAGATATGTATAGTTATGAAATAGAATTATTTAAAAGTATAACGCATTTATATGATGTGTGACAAATTGCCTAACAATAAATCAAGTTAAAAGAAGCCTAGATAGAACAGTAATGTAAAACAAATATTTGTACTGTCGTCACAACGCAGTGTTGTCCTGCCCTACTTTGTTTATTTCCAAGCATAACATTGAAACATAAAATTCTATAGCGTACATAAAATATATGTTCAAATAACGAATACATCAGTAGATTTATATATGTATTTGCATTTATATACTCTAATACGCAATAAAATACCTTTTATTTCTTATGACTAGTGTTTTACAAAAGGCGTTGAAGGTTTTGCTGCGTGACTACACATTTGTTTTCAGTCTATTCTTAGCAAAGCTGATTAAAATAGTAGTTAAGAATATATATATATAAATATTATATATATAGATAATATAAGTATTTAGGTTTAATATGTTATTAAGAAAATATTTCTAATTCCCAATTTTTTGTTTATTCTTAATCATGATAAGTTTTAAAACTTAATCGTTATATAAATTAAGTATGTATACTTTATTAATAAAATTATTCTTTATTGATGATGTTCATAAAAAAGAATGTTTAATGTAAATTCATGATATAATAAATCTTCACTAAAGCGTCCATTGTCGAACCGTGGATGAATTAAAATATCGTAATGAAAGAATCCAACCGGCACTAAATTTTAATGTCAATATACTATCGGAGTCCGCCTTTGTGAGATTTTAATCACAGTTTACAATAGTAGATATTTGCTACAATAGTTTAGATATCTGCAAAGGTACAATGAGGGTCCAGCTTTCACGTAAGTGATTACTGTTTTTAAGTTCTTTATTTAACGAGAATTTTCTCGAACCGTTCCAGAAAAGTTTCGTGAAAATCTTTAGTTTTTTTTTGATAAACTTTAGGTATTAAGGTTAAGAATTGTCATTCTGATATAATATGAATAATGGGTTAATATGCTTCAGTGACACGTTACCTAAGAGAATGTTGCTTAGAAGTACAGTTTCAGTTAGGAAATAAAGGTAAAACGATTTTGAAATATCATTGAAATTACCCTTCGAATAAAGTAAAAAGAGATTCTATTATATATTTCTTTAATAATTTGACTTAGGAAATACCATACCTTCATTGTGCCTCATAAACCTAAAAATAGTTGTATAGAAGTTGGTATTTTGATTACTTTTCACAATGTTTTAATTATAAAAAATAAAATAAATACTTTAAAACTTTTATAAATCAACTTTTATCTTAACTGCTACTAACATATATTTTTGGAGTAATCTCTTTTCAGGTCATGACCTAATTCAAGCGCGTGCAATAATATGTAAAGTTATTTTCTTACAATTGCAACACGAGAGAACATTTCTGAATTAAAAATAAATAAAGCTTTTTCAAAAATTCACCATTTATTCACTATTCAAAATAGTATTCATTTTAAAAATACGCCTGATTGAAAAAGACGCCATACAGGTAATAAATGCATAATTATATAATTTATTCAAATACATATGCACAAAAATAAACAACTAAAAGATACAATCATATGTAATAGTGATACCTCTTCCGTAATTGGTTGGCTACAAAGCACTCCATACACAACGAAATATGGGTCGCGTTGATATGACGGTTTATATTTGTATGCAGATGAGTCTAGCTGTAGACGTAGTTTACGTTTCCTCTCACATATCACTGTATTAAATTCCAACGACTGACTGGAACTGGATTTGACGTAATTATATGATTTAGCTTTCTGATCTGGATAGTGTCGCTTAAACGAACCGTTTCTAATTATGATCACAATCAAATAAACATTGATATACTAAATTACTAATTATGCTGCATGCATTTTCATGTATAAGCGAAATGCTTTACTTATAAATCGATTTCAGTAATTAGATTATTTTAGATTTGAAAAGCATAAAACAATTAAGAGAGGACATGCAAATTATACATGTTATTTATAATTTAATATCAATAAATCTCTTCTACTTTAAACTTGCTTAGTTCATAATCATGCATGCATCTTAGTATTTTAATATAAATATATCATCGCTGTTATTTATAGCTTATGTAAAAATTACCAGTAAGCAGAAAATTTTGTAATATATCACTAGATTGCACAGAATAAAATATTTTCACGACAAGCAATCAACGAAATTGCAAGCTATTTGTAATTTATGATTGTTGGAAATAATATTGTATTTCAACAAAGGAAACTCGAAATACTGACATATACTTGTATACATGTACATATTTGCCAAATAATATTTTTGTCGACGTAATATAATATTAAACTCGAATGATGAAGGTAAAAAAAACATAAAAAATCTTATATGATTAGTCACTAACTACATCTGATTTGAAAAAACTTCAAAATTATAAACATATTCTTAATTTTTTAATTAATCTTCAAGAACTTTAATTATTTTAAACGAATTTGCTAAAATAGTTTATTAATGACACTGTAATTTAAATTTTTCATTCAATTTTATGAAACTTAAATATTTGTTTAATTGAAATTCTGTACTAGTAAAAATATCTTTCGGTTGAAATTTTCGATAAAGTAGATTCCATTTAAATTTTCTGTGCTATAATTAAAAATATTATGATTTTTAATATCAAATCTCTCCGTATCACAGTTTAGTTAAGAATTCAGAGACATAATTATCAGAATAAACATATTAAAAAGAATTAATATATGTGGCAACTTCTTCGCATTTCCTAGAGGAATAATACATAGTACGTAGTTTCTTACATGTATTTTCTAAGTCCAGCTGTGTTGGAATCAAAACCGTTTCTGCTTTATCTAAGTTGCTTTTCAAAAATAAAGTCAACGATGCGTAAATTTTCTATTTCAAAGATAGCGTTAGATGCTGTTTGTGGGAAAGTATTAGATGAAATTGTGCGTATTTGCGATACCGAATACATTGTGTTAAAGTTCACCGCTCAATGTAAGAAAACATGTAAAATTTTATGTTACCATATATTTTGTACGGAGAAAGCTTTATATAGGACTATGTTGAGAGTATGTCGTGAATTTAGTAACCAAATATGAAATTCTGTTATTTAAGGCACCCAGTTACTTAATGAAAATAATAACATTCAGACATTTAAATACTTAAAACCAAGTCGGTGTTACGTGATGTATGAGGATAATTATAACTTGAGCTACTGAAAATAGTGAAATACAAATCAAGTTCATGCTACAAAGTTAAGTAGTTAAAGGTAAAATCCTTGTAAAATTATGAAGATGCTTAGTTAAAATCTGGCCAGGTTGAAAACAAAGTTTTTAATTTAATCACTTTCATTCAGATTAAACATTAATTTATTATTAAAAATAATGTCACAAAACTGAAAATGAATTTTATAGCACTTATCCCAAAACATTTTTGTTTAGTTTTGTTTTTTGTCCATACAGAAGTGTCAAACTCCCTTAATATTTATGAAGGAAAATACGAAATATTATTTTGGAGGGCTAAGTAAAGCTACTTACTCTTCGTTTGATCTATTCATATGTATGTGGAAAACAAAACTTAAATAAAACATATAACAAAAATATAGAATAATCTAGAAAAATTTAAACATGTTTGTTTTGTAAGATTTATACATATGTGAAAAGTGTATAAGAAATTAAACTTAAGCTACTTAAATGAATTCTATCCAATACTCGTGATGTGCCCTCGCTTGCTGATTGGTTAACCTTCTGTGTTAATTTTTTTTATATACCCCTGATTAGAATTAATGTATTGGCCGATTTACTTGAATATTATGTAATAAAAAACATAAAAAACTAGTAAAATACCTTGAACTGGAGTGTAAATATTCATATAAAGACAATCTTCACTTTGATTTTTTAGTCTCGGCAGCAATCTCCTCAAATACTCGAGCCTGCCTTTTGGCATCCTCTCCAAAGTGACGGTCTCATTTGTGATATCAGGCAGACGTTGAGGACAAACTGGTCCCATTTGGTCAACTGTCCTTACTTCATCCCATGGAGCTGGGGCTCGTGTTGGAGCGAACCTTTGAAGTAATTATGATCATTTAGGAAATATTGACGTACTATATTTTAGGATACTCAAGAAACAGAAGTATTTTTTTTATTGATTTTATATGTATTGAAATTATTGAAATTTTGATAAACAATAATTTAATACAAAATGTATGACAAAGGAGCAACTTTAATATTCACATGTTCTATTTATTTTCATAACCCAGAGCTATAAATTATTCCAAACTCTATTGAGACTGGACCCAAACTTTAGTATTAATCTTATTAGTCTATAGGGGAATGAAATATTTAAACACATGTTACACGAGTCGATATTTAAATTTAAAATTATATGTATTGTCAGTAAATAAAATCTTTTAAGTACAACAAAATATACTGTTATTTACAGGGAAAAAGGTTAATTATAATTTATACCTATTAGATCCTGTAGGTGGTGTAGCGTATGGAACGCCTAAATACGCTTCCACAGGTTTTAAGTACTTATGTTGATCCATTGGTAGTATAACACCTTGTAATTTTCCGTATCTCGTACCTATAATTCTAGTTCTTAGCATAGAATTTCTACCACCACTAAAACTGTTGCCACTAGAATTCACACTTAACAGTAACACAAATAGTATCACTAAAGAAAATCTCTCCTGAGTTTCGAGTTTGCATTTTCGCTTCACTGCATTCGTCTTACTTGATTTTTCTAGCTTTTTTACAATACCTATATTTAACCAGTACTGCTTTATGGAGTTGCAAATATGTAATGGCAGTTTATAGATGGCCATTGTATTCATATATCACCTTTGCAAACACATTTCTTTACTGGACTCGATGTATATCACAATCAAAAGTCATTGCAATACAATTTCCCTCAAAATGTTATGAATATTCATAATTAGCATAACATTGTTGCTTGAGCTGCCCATCACTGTACCTGAAACAAAGGAGTAGTTTAAATTAAATTAAAACTTAATTAGTCAAATCAGTCAAGTGTCCGTTTCAAATCGTCAAAGTTTAAACTAAATTAAAGTTAATTTTGAGCTACATAGTGGAGTAGCTACGACGGTAGCTTTTACATGATTCTTGAGCTCAATTTCCAGTTAAAAGCTCAAAAAAATTTTCCTTGACACGGAAATTATAATATCAAATTATACTCGCATTATTAAAATGTACAAAGAATTTTAAATTTAGCATTTTTAATACCGGTAACAAAATTATCCTCTTCGTGATCTTTACCATTGTTGGGATGTAAAATAAATAATAATTACAACATGAATAAAGATTTCTGAATTTATAATCGTATTGTTTGTACTTAGCTTGAAATTTCAAACAGGAAAGAAAAACCGGATCTAACGTTCAGTCCGCGCTCGTTTTTGTTGATTTATTATTTAAAAAACCTTTTTTTTATGAAACCGGTTCTTACTGTTAATGAACGTGTGAAATATCCGATTTCCGTGAAAAAATATTAACATTGCAAATACGAAGGAATAAAATTTTGCTGCTTTTAGATTTTGTTTCCATTTAAATTTAATTATAAAAACGGATTAAGTAATTGAAAATAAATTGCATGAAATCATATAAGCAATATTATTGGTTTTACTTTTATGAATCATTTAAAGTGAAAAGTAATGTTTTAATTTAAAGAGTAGTAAATCATTAAAAGCGTTTTTGATTTGCACGTATAAATATTGAGTCTTTTGTCACGTATTCGTTCAACAAGAGGATGATATAAAAAAGGAATTTACTTTAAATTGCTGAGTAAAGGTAATGTAAAAATAAATATATTCTTTACAAGTAACATGGCTTTTTACAGTCTGTTTAAATTGGTTAATTATTCAATCATTATTTTAACATCTTTCACTCACTGCAAGTGATTATAATTATTGGTCATGATTTTATCTTTAAAGTTATTTGTTCACATTTATTTTTTAAACCATTTAGGAATTCGAAATTGACTATGATAATATGTATTATAAGAGAAACTACATGCATTGTTCTAGTCCATTATCGAAACACAATTCAAACTAAAGGATGGGTGCCATCGTTTATTTAACGACTAAGAAAATGGAGGAAAAGTTGACTCAAATACCCGAAATCCAATCCCCGAATGTCTGAAATATGACAAATAGCTCATTTCATATTCCTTACGAGGGTCCCGATAAATCAATATCATCTATTAACGTTGAACTGACTTTGATATCAAAATCGAATATGTTGAAGTTCAAATATGTTTTTAGATGATTTATAATTCTCATTATTAAGTAACGGTTTGCAATATTAATTTTTGATAATTATTCACTACACATTATTATAACAAACATTATTATATAGAAATTCAGTATTAAAGTAAAACATTTTTTCCTAACTCTCAATACAGACAGGTTTAATAATATATAGATAGTTTGATCAGTTAATATCATATATCCTCAATTAAATTTGCATCATCTTGTCAGTTCAACGCTTAGCTTTTGATATATTACAGACTTTGAAAGATGAGATATAAATAGAAGTCGGCTCCCTAAGGATGATTGAAAATCAATTACCACATTTCAAAAGCAATGTATCTTAATCAAACGACACTTTAAATCCCGTTTACTGATCCCTTGATGTATTTGTCTTTGTAATTAGCTTTGGTAGATTGGAGTTTAATAAGTGTTTGTACCAGTGTCTGGTATGTGGTTTAGCTCACACTTGTAAATAATTGCTTTGGAGTAAATTATGCACTGAATGTTTGAACATTTCTTTGCATTTTCTTTTAAAATATATTAAAAGACCTAGTAAAATAATTGTAGTAACAAATATTACATTTTTGGAGTCTACTGAAATCCCTTGCCCCTGTGTGGTTAAGTTTGTTTCTACAAACATGCCCGCCGCGTGATACTTTTGCTTTGATAGTCGAATATGACGTTACAAGTCACAGGTTAAGATGAGATGCGTTTTCGTTCCATCTTATCTTTGGCGGCAGGTGGTCCTATTTGGGATGCTTCTGTCACATTTGGGTAAATAAATCTTTGTTCTTGTTTAATTTTCTATGGCACAAGAAAATTTGCTAGTTTGATAAAACATTTGTTTGAATAAGAAAATAAAACCATATAATTTAAGTTTTGTTGCCTTGTCGCATTTGGACATAATTAAAATTCAAAGAATTCCTGTGCGATAGTCCGAACAAATTGAATTTCATAGTAGGTTTTAGATGTTTATTTAATTATTAAAAGTAGAATGTATAAGACATTGATTTCTTATGAGGTAAGAAGATTATGAAAATATAGTAAGAATGTGAATCTGAACAATGTTAAAAGGTAGTAAAATGTGTTACTTAAAAGAAATGAAATAAGAGAAATAGATGTATTTCACATATCTTGAAATTATAGAATCTGATGGAGTAAAAAAAATCGCAAGGGACATGTCACGTTTATGAATTCATTGATATCTACTAGATTTTGAATACATTTTACTTAGAGAACTTTGAAAAAATATAGCAAGTAAACTGAACAATGTGGTATAGTATATTATATAAATTTCTATATAAGAATGACTGTAGACAAAAATCATTTAAACTGAAAAAAGAAAAAAGAACAACGAGATATAGATGTCATTATTATTACAATGCTCCAGTTTTTTATATGTGTCTCATATGGTCGATTCTGACAAGCAAAGACTGTAAGCTGAATTCATTAATAATAATACGTCCATATAAAATGTTCTGAATATCTTAAAGAATTCAGAACAACAGACGAGTATTCTTATTAAATTCTTTCGAGGAATTTGTAACACCACGTAAATAGTACATTACATAATTATAGGAAAACTAAAACCGATGTTCTTATACCAATTACGACTTTTTACCGTAAAAAGCTCGTAGAGTGATCGTTATCATTTCACATACTTCGTACCTCGTCATACATTGACCTTTTTAAAAAGCTTTATGACTGCTTAAAATTGCAATAAAATAATGTAAAACAACATATTATTTCAGAATGTATTAGTTGACATTTATTTATTTTGCATGGGAATGTTCATGTAAGTGCGCATATAAATATATCTTGTGAAGTCTTTTTGAATTTTAGGAAATTTAACATTTTATGATATCCTAAGGTCAACTGTACCAGAAATACATAATATTATTTATATAAGATTAACTAAGATATCTCTATTTTGAAGATGAACTAATTTTCATGTCCATATCCATATTTAGCTCCAAATCAAATATGAATGGTAATACATATGTTGCAAACAATTCATTGTTCTACATATGTTGTGTATGCAAGAACAGAGATAAAAACGACGAAGTAAATACGTCGTCTATTTGGTCTAATTGGTCAGTGTAATATTATTAGAATACTACAATCTCTGGATATGGAAACAAAATTGGTTTCAATGATAAGGTAATGAAGAAAATAAAAATACTACCACTGTATGTACGTATATGCATTTATAAAAATAAAGACTTGTACAAAAGTTCTGTTTATCTCGAATCCGTTTTTGTTTTGACGTTTGAACAGTAACTTCGTCGGTCCTTTCATCCCACAACCAACTTTCCTATGAGTTATGTTTGTTATCCATCCTTCATTGTTCGGTTTAATAGAATTTATACATACAGAAGTGTTAAATAATTGTTTTGCTTCCATCTTTCGTTTCTTGCTATTTAGTATTTATACTATAAGTCTACGTTTTTACACTAAATATAATATTGTCTCCATTTTTTATACATTGGTTTTTTGTCACAGTTTCTTCTCTAAAATATCCATATTTCATTTAAAATTCGCATACATGTGTTTTTAAAAAGTTGAATGAAAACCCCAAAAGCCGTAATCGGTTCCTAAGTAAATGTATCAATTTAAAGACTTAATTTTTTTGTCTAGCGTTGAGAGCTAATTACGAACGCAATCGTTCAGTTTCCTAATTACACCCGAAGTGATGGCATTCATTACACCGAAGGCGACGAGATAATTTTTCTGATAAGCATATAAAAGAATTCACACTATCTTTTCATTATCACTTTGTAATAGAATACTTAGGTATTCGTAAATCAAACGATTTTCTCAATAAATTTATAAGATTTATTGCAAAAACTACATAAACCAAAGATTTTACTTTCATTTTACACAAACAGTTAATTGATTTTTTTATAAAATTTGTTTTAATTTTAAAAGGATTTGTCAATTTAAATATTTTATTTGTAAATTTAATGAATTAAATATTATATGTAAATATAATTAAAAGTAGCCGTTGATGTACATATATAAAACATTCTCTAATTAATTTTCTTTAACCTGGTCTCCTTTTCGGACTCCATCTGACTTAAAATTCATGTTCAATAATCACTGCTTCGGGGTCGTAATTCACAATGTATTGTTTTTCAAAATAAGTGACCCTTATAAATGATTTATATAATTAAAACTAAGGATGCTAAATTATTATTTCAATTTGGATTATTTTTTTTATTTTGCCATAAACAATTGTGCAATTTATAAGAATAGTAGGTATAGGGAAGGCAAGAAAATGTTTACTTTATTTTAATGAGATGTGGTCCTATTTGTTTTTGGATTGTCAAGCATAATTTTTATAATCAGCAATTTGTTTCGATACAGTGGTACTTTTATTATTATACTTATTTAAGTGCAGTAGTTGAAAAAAAAGAATAAAATAATGTTAGGAAAACATATTACTTCACCAAACTCATATATTATAATAATAAGTAATATTTACTAATAAGTATTTCTTTATAAAAATATCATTTCATAATATTTTAAAAGAAAACCGTATTTAATCTTGTAAAAACTGCCACGAAAAT